GCCTTTTTATTGAGTCACCGTCTCCCATGTGCTTCGCCATCGAGTTGTTTCTCGTCTATCCCACTTACAGTTAACCTGTACACTTCTGTCCTGGTCTGCACTGTCCATGGCTCACGATTTCACCCTGCCGCTACATTAGGCGCGTTAACCCCCACCCAATGTTGATAACGTCCATTTGGCCACCTTGTGTTCATTCAGCTGCCAAGTCAGACAAGCGGCGACCTGATTCAGTCTGCAGTTTCCTTCAACTCTCTGGTGGTTCTCACACTCTTTGGAGCCATGGTCATATTTTACACACAGTGCAAAAAAGAGGACAGTGATGAATATTTTAACGCACTGACCCGGGCACTGACAGGGCCTGAGCCAGCGCAGGGCTGAGACTGCAGCCTCCCCCCGGCCCGTGTCCGAGGCGGGGATGACGCGTGGCTCGCTCCTGGCCTGTACAGGTTTGACTCAGGTCTTCGGTTGCCTGTGGAGCCACGTGATGAGCACCACGCAGGGTCCCTCCGCCTGAACCGTGCAGTTTAAGTTGTGGAGCGCTCGAGCCTGCAGCAGCAGTTCGACGACCGAGGCATCACCATGCTGATTCCTTTATTAAACATCGTAGCGGAACAGGACACTAATAATTTAACATGTTTTTTTGTCCTCGTGACCTTTTTACTTTTTACTGATTCTTCCCGTATAAGTTACCCTCCCCGTATATATTATCTTTCTTATAAAAAGGTTTATTCTTTTTTTTTTTTTAAAGTAGAAGGCAGTGAAGAAAAAGACCCTCAATGAGATGGATTGACACTGGCTGCAAAACGAGACGACACATAGGGATGATTTTGAGGATAGTGCAAAATGGGGCAGTGCTTTCTTCTGTGGTAAAAAGGGTTAATGTGAGTCAGAGTCAACTGGACGTTACCTTACAACACGGATAATACATCTGACCCATCCTTCCTCACCCTAACCATCTCAAAGAGGATGCTTTCTTTTTTTTTTAATTGGGGGCTCATACAACTCATCACAATCCATACATACATCAATTGTATAAAGCACATTTGTACATTTGTTACCCTCATTATTTTTTTAAAATTTTGAGGGCTCATACATTTCTTATGTCCTTACATACATCCATTGAGTCAAGCACCTATGTACACCTGTTGCCCTTATCAATCTCAAAACATTTGCCCTCTACCTTAGCCCTCAGTATCATTTCGTTTTCTCCCTCCCTCTCCTAAACCCTTCATAATTCATAAATTATTATAGATTTGTCATAAATTATTGTCCGACATCTCCATCTGCCCTCTTCTCTGCTGTCCATCCCCCAGGGAGGAGGCTATACTTAGATTGGTTCCCCCCTTCTACCCAGCATTCCCTTCACCCTCCAGGCCTCGCCCCTCTCACC